TGGAACATGCCTTTTTGATGTTGCTTTCTGGACCAGGGTACTGGAGCAGGCTCTTGGAACCTCTTGAGTCAGGCCAACCCAAGTGAGCTGAGGGTGTGAGTGGCTGGAAGAATGAGAGAGATTCATGTAAGTCCCGGAGCAAACTTCAGGGGTAGGAAACAGACTGAATGTAGATAGGGTCTCTTAGACAAAGGTTTATTTATCCTGTGAAGACAGGGAGGACCCTGCCCCCAAAGACAACCTCTGTGAAGGAGAAACAAAAACCATCAGGCCCATGGTTGTTGTCCTGGCTTCTCTTTTCGGAGGCTCCTTTGACCATTTTAAATTCCTTTAAGATGTGTAACAAGCAGTCTATGGTTATAGGGAAGAAGTCAATCCATACAGGGAATAGAAAAGAATAGAAGCGTGCTCAGTTGTGAAAGTGTGAGGATGAGGGAACAGATCTCAGGAAAAGGTTAAGAGGAGCCAAGAATTCAACAGTAGAGAGAGAGAGGAGGAGAAACAGTGACCAGGGAGGGGATATGAGAAAGCTGTTGGGGAGCTGGTTTTGACTGTTTAGCAACTTTGCCTGAGGCCTGAGTCTCTGAATAAAATAACAATGATAAAGATGATAAGAACTGGGATGATAGTAATGAAGCCTTATTTCCAAAAGAAGGATACAGCAACTCTGTAAGGTTAACTAACTGACCCAGGTGTTTTCTAACCACTACACCACATACTCAGGTCCAGAGGGATGACCATGCTGATTACCTTGGAAGTTTCCACCAGTAAAATGCCTTGTGTAGGCAAATGGGATACAGATTCAAGAATCTAAAGCAGAGCAGTCAGTTCAAAGCCTTGTAGTTTTGCAGACAAGGAAGATGTTGTCTGGTGTAGAAAGACTGAGGTTTGAACACCAAGGGAGCATTGGGAGGAACAGCTCTCGTCAAGCCACAGATGATCCTATGCCTTCTTGGCCCTGAACAGTTGGATATGTTCCTCTTGTCTTAGGACAGACAACCTTGTGAGGCCTCTCCATGACTCATCCTTGAACCAAGAATCTGCCATAAATGCCTGATTCTGCCTATATGGAGATTTCTCTTCCTTCAAGATTTGTAAGGTTAGTTGCACCATGTTTTACACTGACACAGTGAAAAATAAAGGAACCAATTGTTGCCAGGTGAACTGTGTGTGGTTTCTGTTCTGACTGGATGGGGGCCCCCAAATGTGGGGCAAGGTCGGGTGGAAGCAGGTGGCCCATGGGTGAAAGAACACCTGAGATAGAACAAAATCAATAGACATTTATCGAATACACCCCAATTTCAGTGGGCAGAACAGCAGAGGAGAAGCTGTCTGCAAAAGGCAGTGAGAGGGGAAGTTTATCTAAAGGGGGAAGGGGAGGACATATGGAATTTTCCCTTTTTTGGTAGCTGTGCCTGTGTGTAAGTAACCCATTGGTCAGTTAGGGCCTATAGATATTTTGAAGTGGGTCATCTGATGGGCCTGTTTGTCAGCCAGAGGGTTACTGCAGACCCTTTTGCCTTGATCAAGTTTCCATTGCTCAAGCCTGTGCCTGAAAAGACTGCAGAGACTCGGGACCCCGGGGCTTAAACCCAGCCAGACTCGAAGAAGTCTTGGAAGGTTCTTGGTCATGTCGTGAGAAATACTCAGGGACAGACATGCAACACGGTGGATGAGCGACACAAGCAGGAAAGTTTATTAAGGCAGAAAGTACACTCTCGGGATATGAGAACAAGGGCGAAATTGATAGAGAGCACTGTGTCCCTGGGGTTTGGGATTCTATCTTTTGTTGGCAGCTGTTAACTAGGAGTAGAATATTCATTACTTGGGGCGGGAAGCGGGGCTTCCCACTTTTTCTTCCTAATTGGGTCAGGGGCTTCCGGTCTTGGCATCCGCCATCTTGGGCCTGTCCTGTTTGGTCCCCCTTTTGTGGAATGCTGCCAGGACAGGCCTCTGACTTTCTCAGATCTGGCCGTGACTTCCTCCTTGCTGGCCTCCTAGGTATTCTGTTAGAATCGAACTAACTGCCTACTCTAACACAATGAATCATAAGCTTGCAGATGTCTTACAAACTTAATGATCTTGGACAGATAAAACATTAAAAAATAGTGTTACAAGAGCAGGCTTGTGGACAGGGAGTCTAAATCTTACTAAACAGAATTGGACCACTTCTTGGGGTTGCATGAATCAGTGCTTTTTTCCAATGTTCCCAACGATGATTATATTTGCAGTAAGAAATAAGTACAAGATCTTAAATATTTTTTTGATTCCTGTTTACTAGCTTATGTAAACAAGGTTTCTAAAAAGTGAAAATCCTTTTTAAAAAATTGTATTATTTTCATACCAAAGATGTAGGTAAATCTTACTTGAAGGAAGGATTAAACTTTCACCCCAACACCCGTTTTCCCTATATGCTTCTACCCCTAAACCTTTGAGAGAGAAGTATTAATCTCAAAACACAAACTTAAGGTTTGGGGCCGTTTTCGGAGAAAACAAAACT